GGCTTCCCGCCAGGCAGGGAGCCCGATGCGGGGCTTGATCCCAGGACCTGGGACCATGACCTGAGCAGAAGGCAGACTCGTAATGACTGAGCCACCCAGGCGCCCCCGAAGACCAATTTCTTTAAACACTTCAAATATGTTTGTTTTTTTTTTTAATGGGGGCTGGCTGGCATAGTCAGTTAAGCCTCCGATTCTTGGTTTTGGCTCAGGTTGTGAGATCTGCCTTGCACTGGGCTCCACTGGGCTGCACTGGGCTCCACTGGGCTCCGAGTTCAGCGCAGAGTCTGCTTAAGTTTCCTTCCCTGTCCCTCTGCCCCTCCCCGCTGCACTCGCTCTGTTGCATGCGCTCTTGCTCTCTAAAATAAATAAATCTTTAAAAATAAAAAATGAATGCCATTCTTCCAGTTTTATTTCAACACATGCTTCATTTTTTCACATCCTAAATTGTTTTCAAACTGATCTTTTCAAGATTGATAACCAGGTATTTCAATTTACAGTAAAATGGAAGTAAGATTTTCAAGTTCAAACTTCACAGTGAACTTTGACAAATCAGATTTGTTTTACCAGTGAAAATACTTAAGCTAAATTTCCAGAAAACTCTCTCCCCCCCCATTTAATACCAGCATTAAAGTAGAACAAAAGTTCTGGTGACGATGTCTCTCAACCCAAATTCTCCAATTTCTTAATTCTCAGTTTCTCAAAAAAAGAAGAAACAAGTCAAGGAGAGTATAATTGAGAACAAGAAGGCAGAATATTTTAAATTGAAAATCTTCCAAAAAATCTAGATCACACTTACACAATACTTTCACATAATTAAGAAAGTAACATTCATGGTTCCCACAGACTAGACATGTTTTTCCTATTATTTGCTATATATATAAGATTAGCTATATATACGTATCTTCATATATACATACATGAAGATAACCCTAAACTATATCATAGTCTCATTTAACTTACAGACCTGGCCTCAAATTCCAATTTGGCACAAACATTGGCTAGCAGAAATTAAACTCCCAATTAGGTAATGACCTTACAGACATTCATTTACACAGTGCAATGTAAAAAAAAAAAAATCCAAGAAGGAAAAAAGCCTTCACTTTCCATTAAATATTTTAACTACTTATAATCTTAGAGTTATTAGAGATCCCCTAGTCAATCCTGTCCTCTTACAAAAAAATGAAACCTTAAAGAAGTAAAGTCACTAGCACAGAGCTAGTTTAGTGACAGCGAGATGAAGACGGTCATCTCCTGACTTCAGGTTCAAGGCTCTTTCTCATCATGTTATAAGTGAAAGTTTTACAACATATGTCAAGTCTTCACCACAAAAATATTTTATATGTTAAAATAAGTGATTTTTAATAAAGAAGCTTATTTATTTCATTCTTAACTCAGAGTCCTCTGACAGCAAAAATGCTGATAACTAAAGCTGAAGTTGGTAACTAAAGTTGATAGTTAAGCCTCAAAAGGAGGAAAATAAAAGCAAAAGTATATCCCCTAGTACCTTAAAATATAACAATATAGTAGTGGTAATATTAAGTGCTTTATAATTGCTTAGAAACAACAGTTATGCTAACAATATTCAACTTAAAGCTTATCTCCTCTAGAAGTTTTCATTAATATCAGTCATTATACACTACTCATCAACCCATTATAGCAAATCACTGTAGTTACATTAACATTTATGTATTAAGTAGATTTACATCTGTCTCCTCAATTAGACTGTAAAATCTTTGTGAGGAAGAATTATGCCTAACACAAAATTCCCTCAAGGGAATAAAAAGGTATCATTCTATTTTACAAATATAAACTTCACAAACATTATTCTCCCAACATCACTGGAAATTAGCAGCAATCTAAATTTTTATTAATTTAGATCCATGATTCCTCATCTTGTGGGCCACCTTTCCTCCCCAACTTTTAACTCACTGAATGATTCTTGGGTAAATCAGCAAACCTGTCTCAAATTTCCTTCTAAAATAGGGCTTGTAAAAGAGCTTCAGGGGCGCCTGGGTGGCTCAGTCAGTTAAGCGTCTGCCTTAGGCTCAGGTCATGATCCCGGGGTCCTGGGATCGAGTCCCGCATCAGGCTCCTTGCTCTGCGGGGAGCCTGCTTCTCCCTCTCCTCCCCACTTGTGCTCTCTCTCACTATCTCTGTCTCTCTCTCTCAAATAAATAAATAAAATCTAAAAAAAAAAATTAAAAAAATTTTAAAAAAAAGCTTCAGATTACATGAAAATGATTAAGGAAATAATTTGAAAACAATTATATGTAAAACATATTCTTTGCAGAACATTATAATCATAAAGGAAACTTCAATTGTTAGGATTTGTAAATACTAAAGAAATGCTCTAGGACCAGAAAGCACATAAAAAAAAAAAAAAAAACTTTTATCAAAGGGAGATTAAACTTGTATTTTCAAACTGTACACCGTCTATAGGTTTCCATTCCAAGCAAAATATCTACAGGTCACATTCAGCTTCGCTAATTCCAAAAGCTTATGAAAGAAATACCTTCCACTGGCAAAATTTAGCCCTCTAAACTTTACAATATTTTTCAAGATTCTGACTGCAGGGGCTACGCTAAGGTTCTCTTGGTATGTTCACAATCACTGGAAACATCTCTTGAAATGTTTAACACTCACAAAAATATCACTGACCCACACAATTACAGGTATTGTTAGTACCAATAATATAAGACCAAAAATTCCGTTCCTTAATTCATATTACGTTATTAATGGACTGAACATACACAAAAGGAACCAAGTTCTTATTTACTAACACTTTAATTCTTGCTCTTATCAGAAAATAACTGTCAAATGTGTTTCAGTCACTACGCAGGAAACTGTGATTTTTCTTGGGACTTTTAAAACATGTAATACTACATTTTATAGGAAAAAAAGGCTGGTCACTCATGTATTATACAATACATAGTTATATCATTCAAGACTTTATTTCAACTAAAAGTCCTGTTAAATTTAGCGATACCCGTTATGTTCATGATTTTCCCCAATCGAACTGAATCAGAGTTCCACCAACCAAACCACTAATTTCACGCTCCCAGAGTATAAGATCTTTTACAGCATTACTCTTCGGTGAATATTTCCCATATTCCAATTCCCATAGTTGGCGATATGAAATAGAACCCCGGGAAAAGGAACATGTATGCTTGTTACTGCTATAAGTAAGTAATATTCTAGCACTGCTACATGGATTGAGGGCCCTGATTGCGCTGTCTGCTATTAAGTAAAGCTGCTTTTTCTATGTAACTTAAGTCCGTGCCCTTCCGCTGCAGCAGTGGCGCTGCACATCCCCCACCCCCGCGGCCACTTCCGTGTTTACACTCCTCTTCCCTCCAATTCCATGCGTACATTGTCAGCTTCACTCCCGCCCAATCTTCATTGGCCCAACGCGGGCCCCGAGTCCCGCCCCCAGAAATCAACGTTCTTATTTGGAACATCTCAGAGAGCAGATTGGAACCAGGGGCCTGTCAATCCCGACCGTTCTGTCCTCTCCGAGGCGCTTCCGCTATGGTGGGAGGTTTGGGGGGGAGGGGAAAAGGGGGCAATTCCGTGCTGAGACTTCCCTAGGGCCAAGACTCCCTCTCGCCCGCCCCACTCCTTCACATTCACCCACTGTTTACAAAAATAAACGTTCTTCTCTGATGCCCCAACGCTCTAGGTCAGGGGCACCAAATATATCCCGTGTCCTTCCCATTCTTCCCCCTAAAAAAACAACCCACGAGGGAAGGGGCATAAACCTACTTCTTCACAGCCACCCATTAAATGAGGAAAGGGAGGCGGGCCCCTGAGAGAAACATCCTCCCGAGCTATTGCACATTATTCAGTGACCCTTTCCAGAACCGTTACTCCTGAGACCGCACAAGGTGGGGACGTGAAGAGGAGGGGCAGAGCATTTTTTTGGCGGGTATCGGTCTACCGGACATGGCCCGGGGCTGCCTCGTCCACGCGGAAGTCGTGGATTTGCGGACCAAGTCTGAAAGGAGAACCGAGCGGGGGTGGCGAGCGTTCACCGGAGAAGCCCGCCGCCCCCGACCGCGGGCAGCAGCGGCCTCTCCGGCCAGACAGCGTGGCAGGCGCAGCCGAGAGACAACAGCCTCACTCACTTCCTGGTTCCTCAGCAACTGGGGTGAAGCGCACAACTCGTCCGCCCCCGAGTCCCTAACTTAACTGCGGCTCGGTTCTCCAGCACCGGCTGCCAGCGCTCCGCCCGGCAGCTGCCGCCGCTGCTCGCCGAACACACCCTGAAGCGACAGCGCCAGATTCGAGGCAGGTTACTCTCCAAGGTGATCACTTCCTGATTCGTCGCCTCCATTACTTCATTCACTACCCCCCTTTCCCCCGGCCGCTCCACTGACTGAGGTGGACACTGAACCCCCTGCACTGACCGCCATAGGGGAGTCACCCCGCCTTCTGTGCACCCCCTCTCCTGCTGCACCGATGCACAGGAGAAAAGTTCCCCTGTCCTTACCAGCCCGGATGAGCAGATCCAGCTGGTTCGTGGGTCCCTCATGCAGAGACGTCGCCATGTTTATCCCGGGGCTGGAGCTGCTGCTTCACATTGACTTACACCGTGAGCAGCGGCGGCAGGGGAGGAGGCGGAACCCGCGGCCGGAGACACACGCCGTGCGACCGACACACACTCACGCACTCGCACACACTCAGACGCCCGGATCCTTGCGCGTCCTCCGACAGGAAGCCGAGGCCGGCCCGCCTCCCGCCGCGGGGCTGAGAAACCCCACCACCTAACGGCAGGGGCGGCGGCGGCGGCCGCCTCGGCTGGCAACGCGATCCTTCCGCCCCGCGCCCAGACAGGAAGTCCCGGACGCCCGCCCCGGAGAGCGGCCGCGGCCCACCGCGAGAGAGACACCTGAGGCTGGAAACTGCCCCGGGAGCCGCGGCCAGGACAAGGCCCCTCGGCAGGAAGAGGCACATTTCACGCTCTGCGGAAGAAAAGTCGGCAATTGTCCCCACTTTGGAAAAGAGCCATTAATCAAATTTTCTTGCTGGACGAGATCTAATACCTAGTCCCACAGCTGTAAATAAAGGTGGCTATTTAACTTGTTTGGGCCGTTCCAAAGCTTATGCAACGTGTAACCCGTCCGCTTGAAAAAGCTGCACTTTAAAACAGGAATAGCAACAACAAAAAAAGAGGCACACCTACAAAATATGCTAAAAGCTTTACTTGGAAAGTAAGGAGTTTCTAACTACTTTCAGAGGCTGACTTCGTCTTTTTCCCACTACAGAACTGTTAAAGAGCACACTAAACAGGTATTTATTAGTAAACAACAGAACATGCCAACCTCTGGGAGATCAGATTATCCTTCCCCAATTTGCTAGTCAAGAAATTCATGTACCCTTTCATTTCTATTTTGTTCGTTTGGAAACAAAGGTATTCATTTATATCCTCTCCTTTAAAAAATATTTTTCATAGAAACTAATCTTATAAATAAGTACATGCTAAATAAAATACAATAGAAGAGGGGGATAAATTGCATTTCGTGACTACAAATTTATTGACGAAAGAAAATCAAACCAATAAAATGACTCAGATGAATCTTCATTAAAACAAAAAAATGCTTCCCTGATCCAAAAGAGGTTTGAAAGAAAATGTTGCCCTGAAGTTGTTTCTACACATAATTTATATAAAACAGTGCCTTCTCCAGAGTAAGTGCTCAATAAGTTTTTTTAAATAAACACCAAAAAAGATTTGGTATTTACAAATTTAATATTTATGATCTGAATGGAATGAACTGTGCTGATAATCTAGAAAGGAAAAAAATTGCCAGGGGTAATACTAATGTAATATTTTACAGAAGTTTGCCCAGTGTGTCAGTGCAATTTCAGAATACACATACACAGCCCATGACTTTTTTTTTCATTTCTTCTCAATACTCACTTATTCTTTTGGAGCTTTGTCCTAGCCCTACCACCATGATCCCCACCCTCCCCCAAAAAAACTTATATGCCATTTCCAAAGTACAACTCCCCTTAAACTCAATAAGGATCTTTCTTGCATTAGGTAAACTTTCACCTACGGGACAGAAGGAACTGTATGACTGGCAGCTTTTTAAATCTCTAGCCAATTTTTAAAAAGGGTCATCCACTGATAGGCAGCATCTTAACTGGAGACAGTTTCCAGGTGGGGGATGATATGGAACGCCAAGGAGTAACTGCTGGCTTTAGGCAAATCACGGAAATTGATAATAAACCTGAATTTCTACTCCTATCAATGAGTAGTAGATTTTCATGTATTTAAAATGGAAGAGAATCGTATTTTTTCTGGAGGCAACAGGTTAACTTGGCTCAAGAAGGCATACTCAACATACGAGTCATTTTGCAGCCTGATGTGTAACTTTTACCCTACAGTTTGCTTCTTGAGCTGTATCTTAAGAAGTCAACAGTGTGTATTTTATTCTTTGTACATCTTAATTATATGTATTCACCTCAGCCTTATATTTTAAGTTCCAAGAGAAGAGAAGCTATATCTATGCCTAAGACTTCACTCTGTGTGTTTGTGTGTGTGTGTGTGTTTGTGTGTGTGTGAGTGATAACAAATCAATTCAGAAAGACTGGAAAATATTCCTATATATTTAAAATTCCTGTAAAAATAGAATTCCTTGGGCTTTAATGCACTTCTGCCTTGCTACTGAAACTAAGATTTCAAAAGCCACCAAAACTTTAGAAACCAAAAATACTATACTGGAAATAGCAAGTAAGGATAAGCTGCTGCTAGAAATATAAGTTGGTACAAACTTTCAGGAAAGCACTGTGGCATTATATGTTAAGAGTCTAAAAGAGGTTCATACATTCTAACCCAGGAGTTTCATTTCCTGGGCCTAGCCTGAGGAAATAAGACATTCAATGGATTGTGCCATTAAAAATGCATTTGAAAAAATTTTAACAACACAGTAAAATAGTAAAAATACAAATATGCCAAGATTTAAATATATATTTCTTCCACCAATATGACTCAAACCCTGTAGTACATGTGAATGTATGTATATGTAATATACTGTATACATGTGTGTACACACACGTTTCACACATACTCATCTGCATTTCTCAAGTCTTCAAGATTAAGCAGGTATTATTAATAAGCAGAATAAAAAACTGAGAACAGATAGGCTAGGATGGTAGACAAATCATATTACAGCACATAAGAGCAAATTCATATTCTGCTAATAACATTACAGAAAGATATCTCCTACATCAAAGTTACTGCTATATCCTAGCAGGGGGAAAAAAGATAAATAGGTAACTCTTACTGAAATAAAAGCCACTATGCTAAATGCTTTACATTCACTTTTTTCACATACTCCTCCCCCTCATTCCTATGAATTATATATTACTATTGCGCTCACTTTATTGATGTGGAATCTAAGGTTCCTTGACCAAGGTCATAGACTTAATGGGAGGATTTGAACCCAAGCACTGACTCTAGAGTCCTTACCCTCAACCACAACCCAAGCACCAAAGTAACAAGGCCTTTTTATCTGTTATAATGCATTTAGTCCCTGTCCATTTTCTTGTCTGAAAATCCTTTTTTTTTTTTTTTTTTTTAAGAAAGAGAGAGCACAAGCAGAGGAGGGGCCGAGGGAGAGGGAGAGAGAGAATCTGAAAAAGGCTCCATGCTCAGCCCAGAGCCCAATACCGGGCTCCATCTCACAACCCTGAGATCATGACCTGAGTTGAAATCAAGATTCAGATGCTTAACTGACTGAGCCACCCAGGTGCCTCTGAAAATTCTTTTATATTCCTCCCTTCAAGACGTGGAACCTAATACCCTTCTCCCTTCTAACAAATAGTATAAAGCTGAAGTGATGGTGTGGGACTTCAGAAACTGTCTGCTTGATCTCTTCCTTTAGGGTCAATCTCTGAGGAAGCCAACTGCCATGTCATGAGTACACTCAAGTAACTGTGGAGAGGCCCTTGAGGCAAGAAAAAACGGCATCTTGCCAACAGTCTTGTGTCTGCGCTAACTATAAGACCGATCCTCCAGCCCTAATCAAGTCTTCAGAGGACTGCAGCCTCACAAAAGACCCTGTGCTAGAACCAGCAAGTAAGCTACTCCCCAGTCCTTAACCCAAAAAACTACAATATAAGAAATGGTTGCTGTTTCAAGATGCTAAATTTGGGGTAATTTGTTAATCAGAAAAAGAAAATACAGAAGGAAGGCATTTAAACTCTCAACTTGTCACATTTCAGAGCTTAGATTTTAAAAAAGGATAAAGTTTAGAAACGACTTTAACTTTTAACTACAGTATCCTGAGCAGTTCTTTCCATTTCTTAATTCTTTATAGTCCAGGCATCAACTCTTTCATCCTCCAACCTCTCCATTTTGAAAATGTCTTTATATTATCATTAAAGTCTAATATAACAAAAAATAGATACCCTTGGCTTTTTGAATGATTTTATGGTTCCACAGTAACCAAAATGGAAAACATTCTTGAGAGATATTGTTTCCAATACCATATATGTTGCAAATGTTTTTATTTTTAGATTACCCAGATGATTTCATTTGTGTTTTCCATTTATCTAGTATATGGAATCATAAAATGTTACGGATTGGAAAGGAGCCTAGAGACCACATCACCTAGAGGTTTTCAAAAAATAAAGAACCTGAATATCATGATCTCTCTTCCTGGCTACCCTAAATTAGATATATTACATCTTGAAAACCAAATATATAATTGTGTGCTCTAAGAGATGCTAACAAAAACAAAAGGCACAGGCTTTAAAGTTTAAAAAAATTACAGGTTGGAATCTAAGGGAGTAGACATTCTATGCATTAATATTATCTTCCTACAATTCAGGAGAAGGATGCCAATTTCCTATTTTAGTAATAACAGCTCTCTACCAATGGGAGAGTTATTTGAGAATCACTAATTTAGTCCAATGCCCTTACATTTTACACATGGGGAAACTGAGGCCCCAAGAAATTAAATAATTTGATCAGTCATACAGTATCTTATGATTTCAAGGTCAAAAATTCTACAGTCTTCTATAAAACTTAGAAATTATAAAACAGACAAAAAGTTAAATCCATTTTACTCCAACTATATAAACTATAAGTTGCAAAATGATTGATGTTTTGTTTTTTTTAATATCAAAAGCTAAAGCAATGGTTAATGTCTTTTCTGACAAATTAAGAAAATAAATGAAAAAAATTTTTGAGCAGTGAATGGTGGGAGAACAATAAAAGGACGCCAAATGGTCTAAGCTTTTCTGATACAACTGAACTAATAAAATTCAGAGCTGGGGTGTGATGTGTTGGACACGCTTAGGAGGAAAAAAAAGTCAAGAAAACTAAGCTATAAGAAAAATATGCCTGGGGCGCCTGGGTGGCTCAGTCGTTAAGCGTCTGCCTTCAGCTCAGGTCATGATCCCAGGTTCCTGGGATCGAGCCCCGCATCGGGCTCCCTGCTCCGCAAGAAGCCTGCTTCTCCCTCTCCCACTCCCCCTCCTTGTGTTCCCTCTCTCACTGTCTCTCTGTCAAATAAATAAAAAATAAAATAAAATCTTTAAAAAAAAGAAAAAGAAAAATATGCCTATCAAACAATAAAAAAAGAAGAAGAAAGAAAAATATGCCTATCAAGGACAAACTAGAAATCAAGTGATTTAGGACCATTAAGTAAAGCTTGGTTCATCAGCCTTGGAAGACAGACAATAAATGTAGAATCTACAGATTTACAGAGAAAAGATTAATTATTTCACATGTTTTATGCCACTATTTTATTATCTATTTGCAGTTTTTTATACTACTGACTTGTTTATTTAATAGTCAGGTTTTATAAAGTATTATTAAAATGAAGGTGTGTGAACCCATAGTCACATATTCATTCATTTATTCAACAAATAATTATCTAGCACTTACTTTGAGCAAGTTTCTGTCATAGGCATCTATTATTATACCTGGTAGCACTAAGTTATATAACAAAAGGAAAAAATTAAGCCTTCCTAATGCACACAGAACTCCCACTAAGGGTGAAATCCTTAGAGACGGTATGATGTATGAAACTGATTATACATGAAATTAGGAAATAGTGGGTTTATACTACAATTTGGACTACCACCCAGGAAAGTTAAAATTATTTATATGTATAAAAGCCTTCATAAATCACAGATTTTTAATGAGGGGTTCACAAAGGCAAAATTTTGTTAGTACTCTGCATTTTTCTAAAGAGAAAGGCCATTGCTTGTTTTAGTCTCAAAGAGATCCATGACTCCTAAAAGTTATTTTATCAGAAGTTCCTAGAAGTTATTTTATCATAAGTTATCTTGCCATATGCATTTATGGACTACAAAAACTCTACAGTGAGTAAGGATTCAGTATGTGCCATTTTTAAGACTGACGGTTTGGGGGCACCTGGGTGGTTCAGTCAGTTAGTTACGTGGCCAACTCCTGGTTTCATCTCAGGTCATGATCTCCCGGTAGTGAGATCAAGCCCCAAGCTGAGTGAGCCCCAAGTAGAGCTCTGCACTCAGCTCAGAGTCAGCTTCAGATTCTCTCTCCCTCCCCCCTCACCCTCTCACACTTTTTCTCTCTTTCTAAAAAATAAATAAATAAATAAAATCTAAATAAAAAAAATTAAGGTTTGGTTTAGATTCATGTTTTCTGCATTTTACTTATTAAGTTATTCCTGGGACAGACTCTCCTTGAGCTTGTTGACTCTTCACTCTGTGGTTTACACTAGGTGACACACTGCTTCTGATTCTTAGCAGCCATTCCTAGAAGACTGTCACTGATGTTGTAGCTAGTCTTTTCCTATGGATATTAGACAAACAACTCTTTTCAAACAGCATTTATTAAGCACCCATATGTACATGATACCCTGCAAAATGAGTTTAAATAGTTAATGATAACTACATTTTAGATAACATTTATGACAAGTGATTTCAAGGGCTTGGATTTTTATTATCATTAGAGAATATGTAGTATCTTGAATACTCTGGAAATTTTTTTCAATTCTTGTGAAACTTTATAAGAGCTAATACATGATTCGCATTTACCATGTTTATGAAAAATTTACAATGGAGTTCTCAACTAAACTATACTACCACTTTAAGTCAAATTCTATTTTGATTGATTCCTAAAGGAATATTCAGATTACGTAATTTCTTCCCCTCTTACAATATAGCTTCTGCACTCTACCCACCAAAAAGTTCCTCAGAGGTTAACACTGAGCATTTAATTGCCAAACCCAGCTATCTCCTCTTAGTCTTCACCTGACTCTACTTCTCTGCACAAATAACATTATTAACCACCCCTTACTGAAATCCTTCCCTTCATTTGATTTTTCATGAGAATAAACTGTCTGGCTTTGTTTTCTCCTATTTGTTTCTTTTCAGTTGATTTCATCCACTTCCACACAACCCTTAAATGTGGTGTTCTCCCAAAGTGTGATCGATCCTTAACCACTTTCTCTCTTCCTTCTTTACTCTTTCAATAGTATTTATTATCCATTCACTTCCAGGGTTTTCAATATTATTTCTGTACTGATTCAAAAATCAGCATCTCCAGGCTTGACTTATTATTTTTTTAGATCTAGGTTCTAATTTCCAATTATATGGCAAACATCTTTATTTGGCTAACCCACTGGTACCTAAAGGTCTTTTATCTACAAATCTCCTTTATTTTCTCTATCAATAACATTACCATCATCCCAGGCTACAAATCTGAGTCACCTATGATCCTAGTTTAGGAACTCGTCTATTATACAATTTTTTTTTTTTTAAATAACAGGAGAGTCATTTTTTTTTTTTTTAGATTTTATTTATTTATTTGAGAAAGAGAGAGAGAGCACAAGCAGGGGGGGTGACAGGCAGAAGGAGAAGCAGACTCTCTGCTGAGCAAGAGCCCCATGTGGAACTTGATCCCAGAACCCTGGGATCATGACCTGAGCTGAAGGCAGATGCTTAACTGACTGAGCCACCCAGGAGTCCCTATTATACAATTTTTTAAAAAAAGATTTTATCCATCCATTTGAGAGAGAGAGAGCAAGAAAGAGCATGAGCTGGGGGGGGGAGGGTGTGCGGTGGGGAGAGGGAGAAGCAGCCTCCCCGCTGAGCAGGGAGCCCGACACGGGCCTTAATCCCAAGACCCTGGGATGCCGACCTGAGATGCTCAACCGACTGAGCCACCCAGGCGTCCCTATTATACAATTTTTGAGGGGGATTTAAAACATACATGAAATTATAAAAAATAATGTAACAAACAGTCACCTTCCCAACACCCAGAACCAACAACTGTTAACATTTTATTATTTAAAGGTGTTTTTTCACCCTAAGAAATAACACATTACAGGGGAAGATAACATTTTTGAATACTACCCCCAGTTCTCATTCACCATTCCATCTCTCCAAAGAAACCACTATCGTAAGTTTTATGCATATTCTTCAATTTTTTACACTTTTATGTTTTTGTGTATGTATATATTTATAGGTGTGTGTATCCCAGAATAATATATATACTATTATTTTTGCATGCTTTGGGTACATAAATGACATTATTCTATATACGCCATTCTAAAATTTCCTTTTTTTCATTCAAGATTTACATTCTATCCATGTTGATGTAAATAAATATAGCTATGCTTTTTAGATGCTACACATTATTCCAGTGCATGAATTTACCCCCATTTTATTTATCAAATTATCTACTGGTCAGCAAATAAATGTATTTCCACTTTTCACTTTTATGAACAATGCTGCAAAAAATTCCTCTCCATGTTTTTTTACACATGTATGCTAGAGTGTCTCCACAGTATATAATAGAAATTTTTACATACAAATAGAATTTTTATATAATAAGTGCATTTTTAATTTTATATGTTACTCTCCCCAAAGTAGCTGTGCAAGTCCAAAATTCCACCAGTGATGTGTTAAGAGTATCCACTTTTCTCAAACTCTTGTCAGTACAAGATATAATCAGACTTTAAAATTTCTGCCATCTGTTGGGTGACAAGAAAACCATCATTGTTGCATTAATTTGCATATACTTAATAAGTACTGAGGATACTTTTTCATATACTTACTGGCTATTAATATTTCCCTTATAAA